CTATCCAGCGCTGACTGGAGGAACAGAAAGGGGAGGGACGGGCACAGCTGGCTCTGCCTCTAGATAGGCAAAGCCGGCTGTCACTCAAGCAGCTGGGAGGATCTCGTCAGCATTGTTGGGATCCACCCCGGCTGCGGCGATCTCGGTATATAGTGAGCAATAGCTCGCTATATACTGAGCTTTGGGTCACGGGAGGACGTTAAAATATGTACTCCCTTGACCATTAAGAGAACTATGGGATAAAAAGGTTACCCCATAATTCTCTTTTAAGTCCACTCCTGGACTTAAGTCCACCTTCAACCGTCATGGCTCAGTTTATTTTCCAGAGTTTTAGGAGGTTGGACACTAGTTTCTCTTGCTGAAAAAAAACCTTAAACTATAATTTTGCCTTTTTTATTTGGTGTCTGTGAGGAAGTATATGAAAAATGCTATTTGACCCTGTCTCTACCAAGAGTTATTCAGACTGACACATCCTTGACAACAGCTTTGGAGGCCGTACCAGAACTACACTGTACTGAAGATTGCAAGGTTAGCCTGAAATGTGACTTTGGGGCACTGGGCTCTGCTTTGTGGCAGACTTATGTGTACGGTGTTAATTAGCTGCAGAGCACTCTCTAGGTCCAGAGCTATGGCACAGCCTCTGGTGTGACCCAGTCTCTCAAGACTCGCGTGATCTTCAAGCACTGGTTCTGCATTGAGGCACTGTTCAGACCTCTGTGTACTGTGTTAGTTAGCTGCAGAGCAATCTCCCAGTCCAGAGCTGTGGCACAGCCTCTTGTATGACCCAGCTTTTGAGATCATAGTCACTAAGGCCAGCTTCGTGAAAGCAGCGGGAGCTACCTCACAGTTGGTTGCCCAGCTACCGCCATCTTAGGCCCCATTCACACTAAGCGGATCGCCGCGCGATTTCCGCCGCGATATCGCGTGAAGTCGCCGGCCAATGATTTTCAATGGAGCTGTCAATGTACAGCTCCATGTCTCCCGTCGCTCGTCGAGGTCGCAAGTCGATCCTACAGGACCCTTTTTTTTGGCGGATTTTGCGTGAGTTTTCTATTTTTTAACCAGTTGACATCCGCGGTGTTAAACCCCCTTCCCATCCAGGCCATTTTTCAGTATTCAGCGCTGCGGTACTTTGACTGACATTTATTCCGTCATGCAGCGCTGTACTGAAATGAATTGTATACCCTTTTTTGGGGGACAGATAGAGCTTTCTTTTGGTGGTATTTATTCACCACTGGGGTTTTTATTTTTTTACTATAGCAGCCCGACGGTGAAGGTCAGGCTACCATCGCTGGAACGTCGCCCCGAAAGTCGCGCTATCCCAGGCCGCGCGGATCCGCTCCAAAAGGTATGTTGCTTAATGTGAATGGGGCCTAACAGTGATGACTGTTAAAGCTAAAGGAGCTGAGCGATAAGAGTACACACTCCATGTTCCTTTTATGCACTTTGTGGATCAACCATTCTCTAGTCTCATTCCACTGTCTGCTGACAGCGACAAGGTCACCTCCAGCCAGCTATAATGTAGAAATGTCACCAGCATACCAATCCTTTTAAGATAGCAAAAGCTTCATTTATTGAAGTTTTTTGTCATATGACCAAACAAGCGCTTTCGGGACCACGCAGGGTCCCTTCATCAGGCTTTAGCCTGAAAGGTCCCTTCAGCCTGAAGGGTCCCTTCATCATCTTTAGCCTGATGAAGGGACCCTGCGCGGTCCCGAAAGCGCTTGTTTGGTCATATGACAAAAAACTTCAATAAATGAAGCTTTTGCTATCTTAAAAGGATTGGTGTGCTGGTGACATTTCTACATTTTTGCTGACATTCGCGGCGCCATCCGCGGTCACTGCGAGCACCCCCCACTACAAGGGACATATCGGTAAGGAGTGCGACAAGGGTAGTACTTATTCTCCAGCCAGCTATTACCCTTTTCAGCCCCCCGCTGCTCGTGTGTGTGAGTACCGAAAGCTTTGCCTGACTTCTGACCTGGTTGTTCTCATCTATGCATTGCAACGTGTCTTTTAATAGAGACGCAGAGGACAGTGCTGCTACAATGGATTAGAAATAAATTAAATGGACACTGTACATAGGTTCTCACACTTCATAGTTGTTAGCAAATCGAAATAATATTATACAGAGGTGATACAATGAGATTGTGAAGAATGTGGCTGATTTAGGAGATACTTGTTTTGTTGTACAGATTATTTAAATCCAACCACTACGAAACACCTCCACTAAATAGAACAGAAATCCCTGTTATTGTTAGACATACTCATTGGAACCGTTGCTTCAGTAATTACCTCCTCACATCTATGCTCGATCTGCAATTTCTTAAGGTTCATTATTGACAATTGTTTACAAGGGGCTAAGCCATCAAATGAATTGATCAACTTTGAATCCTTAACATCTACAACAGCAATGCCATATGCAATGCCAAATGAAACATCTGTGGGAACATTTGTGCTATAACATTAATAAGCCAATGAACTTGTCAACGTCATCAAGAATGCTTTGAAAGAAGTCAAAGTGAGTGAAAGTTGCAAGTAACAGTCTTCTTTATTCTTTATTTATGTTAGAGCAGCAAAAGCAAAATTCAACACATTGGAGTTGTGTCTCTTTAGTTGATTTACTAACCTTATAAACACGCCAAGAACAAGTATACACCTCTGTAGTGTGTTCCCTCCCAGCATGATCTATTGGTGGAATCTAGACACCTTTGTAGTGTGTACACACCCAGCAGGTGTGTTGTGCAAAGCCCTGCATGAATTGCAAGGTGATGTTGTGTAAATTAGCTCTACATTGTGTTGCTTGCGTTGATGAATGCAGGAATGTAAATGCATGAGCCAACCATTTTTGTCTAAACTGTGAAGCAGCATTATATATGCATCATGTGCATGATTTTTCCATATGTGGCATTAGTGGAAATATGCTTTTAGAGACTTTTTGGTTGATAAATACGTTTTGCTGTGTACAAATCACACGCACCTGGTACGTGCGTGTGTTTAGGTTAGTAAATCACCCCCTTTGTATCATAATTATACTGGTTTTTATATTTTGCTATTATTCCCCTTATATTTATAGTTAATTTAGAGATATTTAATTTTACATATGTACTTTTTTTTACATGTTTCTTTCTTGTCAGTTGCAATTATAGCATGGTGCTTTTCATGTAACATAGTCTATTATAATGTGTATCTTTAAATCATTTTATTTTGTTTATGACCAAATATCTCTTACTTATTTCAATTTTTGTTTTTTTAAATCTTATATCTTTTTTTTTAGACTCATCCTAATGTAAAGCATTGTAGGCTGTAATGAATCTTACTGCAAGTTGGGAAGCTTCATTTGAGTTGTTTTTAATTGATTTTCCCTGTCTCTCAGACGTGCCTTATGCCGTCTGTACAATACTGAGCAGGATTATTCTAAATGATAATGTGTTTTTCTGCAGTATCTTCTTTGTCTAACCACACTTAAAGTAGGCCTTTACCCCTTTTCACTAAAAATCACATGAGCATTCAGTTCTGCATGCTGATATGAAATAATCTTACATTCATTAGTTAGACATTGTTTGCATTTATTATCAATTACTGTTTTTCCACTTCCTGATTGAATGAGGCACTGGCGATGTAGTCCTGACCTCACAGATGCATCCTGGGAAGGCTACATTAGCAGTGCAGGCATCTTTCCCCCTCAGATGATATGCACTGTCAAATGATCCAAGAGACAGACCCAGAGATCCAGGAACTAAAGGCAAATGAATTAATCTGCCCATACTGAAACTGGCTACTGTAAGGATGGGAAGGGGGGGTGGAGGGGGGGGTGCAAAAAAATATCTATAAGTATTTGTTAGTAGAATGCCATTACTAAACATTTCTAAAGGTGTGTAGTAATTTTTAAGATAAGGGTGAAGTTCCTCTTTAGGTTCAAACCTCAGCAGAGGTTTTTAGTGATTGCTGTGAGCTAAACTTCTGTTTATTCTCTATGCCATACATACTTCATATATGCCTTTGGAAAATTCACTATGGGCTAATAACATTGTCTCTGGTCATAGTGTATTTTTGTGGATAATTGTTGGATGCACTTCAAAGAAGAAAACTGGAAGATCATTTTGCAGTCATGCTCTGGGTTTCAAGGGGACAGGGAATAAGGGCAATTTTTTCCAGCAGGGATACCGCAATAAAAAAAAATGATGATGGTCTAATCATTTCCCTCTCTGTGGAAAGAGATATTACATACATATTGCATATTTGTTATATATTTATTAGAGCTCTAAAATAGATTATAAAGTTAGGTAATAACTTTTTGCATATAAATTTACCTCTCAAGATCCCAGATTTTCACAACTCCTTGGTTGAGGTAACTTTTACATGTGCTCACAATTTGATTGGTGACTTTAAGGAAAAGGGAGGTCATATGCTCTGAGGTATTGTAATACTGTGATGTACTATAGATCATACGAATGTTATTCATAAGGCTTGGTATATGTTCTACCATTGTAGCCTAGAAAGTGGAAACATACAATCCGTTAAAGAGAACCTTTATAATCTTATATTGCAACTTGTAAAAGATAATCATTATCATCATTCTATAATTGACTGTTAATGAAGACACACAAATATAGTCCAGGGCAACCAACATCATCTTTACACAGATACTAGATTCTTGAATTACATCATCTGTCTTATCAGATGAAAACACACATCAAGGCCCCACAGTTTGGAACTCCACTACAGATTTATCATGGAATGCTGGGTTCTGTTCTGAACCATCCCCAGCTAGCATGGTTTCCTTGGAAGTAGGAAAATATTTTCCAGGTTTGGGATATACAAAAAAGAGAATCTGTGAAGAGTGACAAAAGTTCACCTATTAGATGAAATACTGTGTTCTTAAGTAACATGCCCCCAAAATTGTAATGCAGTACTAAAAATTACTCTAGGCATGGGTCATAGTATTCAGGCACACAGTAATAATGAAAGACTGGATCACTCATCAATTGTCAGATGCTTTCAACTGCAAAGGGGATTCTTTACGGTGAGAGGTGTAAAATTGTGGAACTCCCTTCCACAGACAGCTGAGAGTATGGAATCATTCAAGAATTATCTAGATCACGTGTCAAACTCAAGGCCCAGGGGCCGAATCCAGCCCACCAGGCCATTTTCTAGACATCTACTTTCAGATCCAGGTATTAAGTTATTACTAAAACCAGTGATAATCGAATGCAGAAGCAATTATGATAAAGGTTAGATACATTTATTTATTTATTAGATACATTTATATAGTCTTACAGATACCTGAGGGCAACCATAATGTTGATGTGGCCCACAATTAAATTGAGTTTGACACCCCTGATCTAGATACTTTTCTCAGCGCACAAGATTTACAGGTAATGTTAGTAACAAACACACACAGACACGCACACAAAACCCAAAGGTTGAACTGGATGTACCTGTGTCTTTATTCAACCGTAACAACTATGCAACTATAGACAAAGCACATACTGAACTTGCTATATGAATAAAATCACTTTACATGCACATGACATGTGATTCATCGCCAAAAAAAGTGCCAACGGGGCCAGATGACCCTGGCCATGAGGGCAAGCATTCATCACAGCGGTTCAAGAGGTGGGAGCTCCACCATGGAACCCCATTAAAGTGAAGTGGGATGTTCTCTATCAGCTTTGTTAACTATATTAGAGCTAAGACAGAACCACTGCTCTTACTTACTGGTGAGGCTTTCCCAAGAGGACCAAAGAACCTGTCCAGAGTGTACAAATATTTGACATTGTCTTTTGCTTCATTGGCTGCATTTGTAACGTTACAGTCCTGTTAAAGACATGCATAAAGAAAATGTTATTTATCTATACTGTTACTGTGAACAAACAAAATGGTAGTGCAATCGTTGTTTTCTGCTTTACCTACGCCATATAATTTGACAAATAGCATAAATACAAAGTGCTAATAAAACTGTCTGATACTACAACACAGTGGTAAAGTTGTCTTTCTGTTGCAATAATTGGATGCAGTTATGCAGTTTAGCCTAAGGACATGAATTAATTTTCAAGCAAGATATTTCAACTATGACACAGCCTTTTGCAATTTTATTGACCGGCAGTAATTCAACTGTAATAAAAGTAAAGGGAAGCGTTTACTGAAAACATTTTTTTGCATGATTAGTAGCTACAGCTTGTATTAATCCCAACAACTTTATCCCCACTCTACAGGAACAAATTTATACTTACTGCCCAACTTAGCCATTTGTATTGAGCTACTCCCTCCTACCCCAGTCAACTGGATAGCCTTAAGCTGGCCATACCAACAGAAGACCTTTCTTTACCACCTAATAACAACATCAGAGACTTGATGATTGTCAAACTAAATTTTGTTTTATTTAATATTCAATTTTGGAATGAATGTGGTTTCCCGAATGAAAACTACATTTACTATTAGAATTTTGTTCGGGAAAATTTTTCCATCCTGCTCCTTCGACTTTTTTTGTCACTATGGTCGAAATCAATGAATGATTTGACCCCCATCAACTAACAGAACAAGTCGAACAAAAGGTCTATCGTATAAAAGTTCAGATGAAAGTTCTTTTGAAAGTCTACTAGTGTATGGTCACCTTTAGTATCAAAATGGTGGGCTAACTCTAGCTGATTCTAGGTGTACAGCCCCAGAGTGGATGAAGTGTAAGCAAACAGTACAATATTCTGGTAACCAAAATGTACAAACTTTGCAACTGAAAGTAACCCCAGTTGGGTTGCACCGGTAAAGAGAATGCAAGACTGCAGCCTTATACAGGGAATGTGTTAATAACAGTCAGCAATATAATACGTGAAAGGGTTCTATGCCACCCCTGTAAGTCATGATAACCTAGGGCAAGATCTGTGTAGGCTATGCAGAAATCTGACCCATATCAGTTTAAAAATATTTAGCCACATAAGTGCTTATCTTTTGCCAAAACTCACATTTTGGGAAGTTTAAAAATCATTAAAATGTGGAAAAAATGTTGTGGTACTGTAGGACAACTTAGAAACATAAATGGAAAAAGACAGAGACCTTTTATTTTTTACTGTCCACAAGGTCTGCCAAATATCTACATAAAGCATGAAACCATGAAAATCAATACATACCAGTTCCTTCCATTGCTTTAATATTCTGGATTTTGCTGCTTGCAGGATACTTAGAACTTTTTTCACTTTAGGGCTTTTAATTTCATCTAAAAGACTGGAAATTGAAATACATTTCAATTAAACAAAAAAAAGAATAATTTACCATATACATATAACAATCAGTATCTTCAGCCTATGTTCTGTAATTATGATTACATGACACTGGTTGCATGTTTATGTGACCAATTAAGGTAGCATCTTCATGGGTATTATGATTTGCCATTACTGTTTTTTACCACTAGACATCCTTGACGAATGTTCATAACTTTGCCCTGTCTAATTAATTTGGAATGAAAGTTTTAACTACTAGTAAATGGTACAAATCTGCAGGATTTTCATTGTAACAATGTTTGGCAAGCCCTAAATAGCAGAAGACAGGGGCACTAGGTCTGATACTTATGACCGCTAACAAATAAAAAAAATAAAAAACATAATCAAGAGCATAAATGGCTTTATATTAAATATGTATCTCTGCTAAGACCAGCAATAGCATGCTAAGTTTTCTGTTTGGTGCATCTCTAAGGAAGAAATTATATGAACTGCATAAAGCTAAGGAGATTGTATAGAGCTAAAACAAACATGTATGGCTATATTTAGATGATCTTACACTGAAGATTTGCAGTTATGGGGATAATGGAACAGGAGCATCTCGATTCCATATGTTAGGAAGTGCACTGCAATTTCTCACTAGGCATTTACACAAAAGGTAGATTTTTCAGGTTACTGCTAAGCCACAATCAACCCTACTAGATATTCACTAACAAGTGTTCACTCTTTGAGTATAAGTTTACTATAGAAAGCAGAAAAAAACATATTTGGCATTAAATGTGTTATTAAGATAACCAGTGTGAATACCTATTAAAAGAAGACATGCGTGACTTCCAGTGTTCCAGCTCAGCAGAGGGGCCGATGTTGTCTGCTTCTTTCCTCATTTGCTCACTTTCTGCAAGAACCTGCTCAATCTGCTTCATCCACACTGTCAGCATGCCCTCTAGCTTCTCGATCACTTCACTGTTACCTCCTGGAAAAATATGGTTTAAGTTTTAGTTTTTGGCACTTGATAAATATAGGATGATAGCTGTATACTCTAATGAATAACATTGCATTTCACTTCCACTGGGAACTACTGGGAACTACAGTCAATAAAATATCTACAGGGGAAAACCAAAGGTGCCACCAGCATATCATATTTCTGCTGTGGAAGCTAACCTTTTCTGTCAGATTAAAAAAATGGAAAATATGTATTCACTGATGTGTTTTGTTTTTTAAGACTGACTAAACTTTAAAAGACTCAGATATAGCTACTGTCATACAACCACAGAACAGCTTATGTTAGGTCATCAAAATTGTGGTAGAAAAGACTATGGAAGAGTCGCAATCAAAGCAGCTCTGGGGAATTCAAAGTAAATCTATATTACTCTTCATATTTTAGTCTATAATCCTTTGCAAGGCAAACATTTGTTCATACCTTGACACTGCAAAACAACTGTCATTTTTCTGCTGCTACAAAGGTGCCACAAACCTGTTGCTATGAAGTCTGAAGGATTTGGCAAGCCATCAATGAAATTGCCACTGTCCACTTTCTTTAGCTCAATTTTTCCATCCAGATTGTTTTTTGCAGATGACAATGTGGCAACAAACTTGTCCAGCGAGTCCAAGAACTCCTGTATCTGTGAATTTTGTAGACCATCTTTGACAGCTCCCCAGTTCTTAATAAGTAAAATAAATAAGAGAAACGTAAAGTTGAACTTTAAAGTTGAAGTTGACATTAATGCAACTCATTAATACGTCAGTCAATTTTTTTTATTTTTTTTTAAATGCATGCAGTGTAAATGCCAGAATTACAACTTGGTATCAGCCTCTTTCTGTCCACTGAACAGCATACTTTAGTGGATAAAAAGTAAGTTCATGTGCTAACAGGAAGAGAAAGAAGAGTGATAGAGAGATGAGCTGATCACTGTGCTGCTTCTCCTTTCAAGTCACAGATTGGGGGGAAAGGCCCATGATTGCATGGGTTTAGAGGAAGTTGGTTGAATTATTCTGGCTGTCATTCAACCTTGGATATCTTGTTGTAGAAAATAAGCACTGCAAAAATGTCTGAAGATACTCGGCAACTTTTAGTGACGGTAACGCCCTGCGAATGGCATTCGACCAGCTTTACACTGCACGGAATATTTATACAACAACCCCTACATGTCTTTTTATATTTTACGCTACTTCCCCTATTCTACATATATTATTGTTGTGAAAGCAAGACACAGCTTTGCAGGTGACAGAGAGCAAACCTACCTCTTGACATTTAAGAGCTGGCACCAAAACCTGAGCCAGTAAAATCTCAAGTCCTTGCAGAATGTTCCCATTTGTACATTCAAACATGCTGAAATTGACTTCCTGTAAGAGATAAAGTTATACAATTCATTTCCTATAACTTGAATTATGCCTGTTCTGCACATCTTCATTATCTGTACATCGCTATTGTCTAACTAATATCCAGGTAAAACATTTCTAGAAGATCAGGGATGGTGTAAAATTGCACTTATCTGAAAGAATAATGAGAACTACACTTATTATGCCAAATATTTCTTAAAATGCATTACTCAATAGTAAAGCTCAATTAACAAACACAAATCATGATAAATATAAGTATCATGTCTCACCTGAACAACGTTGGCTGTAGTAATTGCTTTATCTGTTGTACGCAAAAAGAAAAGGCAGGTCCCTGTCAGTCCCTGGAAGAAAAGATGCATCAATTATAATCCCATGTAGAACTAAAGCCAACATTTTTTTTTAGTTTTTAATATAGTGGAGAGGGATTACAACCACTGTCAGGTTTTATTGCTTTCTTTTTCTAAATAGGGAGATTCACCCTCCCTATTTGTCCTGGAGTGCATTATCACCGGGAGAGAAAATGACAACAAAATCCAATATTGTTAGTTTTCACCAAAACAGGCATAAAGAGGAATTTTCCAATGGTGGTAAACCTAGTGACAACAGGAATTTCTTCTCACTTTCTGTTATGGCTATGGGACAGGAAGTAAAGAAAACTCGCCGCAACGGGACGCAGGTGGCAAAATAGTGACGGGTTATAACCCTCCTTTACTCTATATATAAAAAAAAAAGTTTAGGAAAGTAAAGAAAACTGCAACAACTTTGATGGCTGCAGCAGCCAAATGTTTTATTGTGCAGTGAATTGCCCCACATTTGAAATAAAATATACTAACAAAAAACTCAGACTCAAAACACAGAAACGATAAGAGGTTTAATTAGTATATTTATGTAGATATATAATATCTAACAGCCTGGATGTGTTAATGTTTTGATATCAAGGCCTCTTTCAGTATAATGTGCTAATGAGTCTTTCTGTGTTACATTTTATGCCAGACTCTGTAAAGTTCACTCCAGAGTTCTATGGATACAAAGAGTTCTCTCTGTGTTGTTAATTGGTCAACCCCTGGTCACTTTGTCAACAGCGGGTTGTATTGATGTCTAACAAAACAGCTTAGCCTTGTTCTGAAAATGTCCTTGTATAGGGATTGTTCCCCTGTGAGCAGGTTGTGTGTTTTATGGGAGGTCCCAGGACTGGAGCTTGGTGTGACTCTCTTGCAGGTTGTGTGCCTGAGGGTCATGAGCCTCGTGTAATTTAGCTAGATTCAGAGAGCTGAAACAGAGTAACCTCCTGTGGTAGTCATTTGCTCCTAGATGCTGAGAGTCAATGCTAAACTAAACCAGAGAAGCTGGGACCCACTGCTAAGCTAAACCTGAGAAGCTGAGAGCCACTGCTAAACCAAACCAGAGAAGTTGAGACTCACAGCTAAGCTAAACCAGAGAATCTGAGACCCACTGCTGAGCTAAACCAGGAAAGTTGTAAGAAACCTAAAATGGATCTGACTATTCCACCTTCTATATCTACACCAGGGGTGTCAAACTCAATTTAATCGTGGGCCGCATCAACATTAAGGTTGCCCTCAAAGGTTTCTGTAAGACTATATAAATGTATCTAGATCTGAAAGTAGAAGTCTAGGACATGGCCTGGTGGGCCAGATTCGGCCCCTGGGCCTTGAGTTTGACACATGTGCTCTACACTGTAAGAGAAAGAATATCAAGACAGCCCCCGATCTCCCCCTCAGTGGAGACCTATATTTTCCTGGTTAACAACAGATGCTGCATGAATGAGTGGATGTAATACTGCAAGCAGAGGGTTATCACAAATGAATGCCCCCCCCCCCAAAAAAAAAAAAAACAATAGCCTTACACTTAGAAACAAGTAAATTGTTACAGTACTGGGATCCAAGAATAGAATTGTTACCAAAATGGCAGCAAAGCGTTACAAAGATAAATAACAATTGTTGAAAAAAACAAATGCACCGGTTTCCGGTGCATTTGTTCAAGTATAGTTTGCAGAGGATAACCAATCAAATGCAAGGAAAATAAGAAAACTGTCAGGGTTATTCACAAAAGGGTGGAGAGTTTTGAGAAGGCAGGAGAAGGGAACAATCTAGGACAACATAGCCGATTTGGAAACATTCTCCAATTCAGCTAACTTTCTAGTTCAGCTATGTTGTCCTAGATTGTTCACTACTTCTGCCTTGTCCAAACTCTTCACCCTTTTGTGAATAACCCTGTGTATTTCAGAGGGAAGTCAGCAGAGCTTCACTAAGCTATGAAAAAATTCCCTTCCAAAATGAACAGCCTATGTTCCTTTGGGTTAATCAAACCCGAGAGCTTAACTGGAGTTAAAGTGGAAGTAAAGTTGTTAAAATTAAATTGCTCACTGGCAGTCTTTAAAAGTGTAAAAGTGCCCATGCACCTTGCGATTATTGTTCGATTTGCGAACGAAAACAGGTTTTCGTACGATAATCGGCCAGTTGATGAGAAGGCAACGATCACAATTACTGTACAGCTGGCCAAATTTCATCTATCGGGCAGGCTAGAAAACTTATTTAAATCGTACGAAAATCGATGGATTAGTGGCGTTTTTGTCCAAAAAAATTAAAATTTGCAACATAAACACTGTACATACGCAAACGAAAATACGTTCTGTCGATTGACGAAATTCGGTCAGCTAATATTGCTGACGAACGATAATTGAAATCCATATTGGTCTGTGCATGATGGGGCAGAGGCGTGGAAATCGAACAACGGTTTGATGAAGGCATGAAAAAAATTGTACCATAATTGTAAGGTGTATGGGCACACTAAGTCTTTTTCTTCTGCCATAATGGCTTATTGCTGCCATTCAGCAATTTTTTTTTATGTGCACTGAGCCGCACATGAGCAGCTCAGTGCACAGGCCTAGCATGCCGACATGTGCAGGAGTTATGCCATGGGGGCCTGGCCAATCAAGTGACTGAACACTCCAAACCCAGAAGATCAGAGTGAAGCAGCTAAGTGCACAGACCTAGCAAGCCGAAATGTGCAGGAGTTATGTCATCAAGGCCTGGCCAATCAAGCGGCTGAACACTCCAAACCCAGAAGAAGATAGTAGTGAAGATGGCAACATCTGCGAGGGAAAAGTGCTGCATTGGAGGGGATTGATTTGACAGATAAATCTGCCATAATGTGGTAATATGCTGTGCAGCGAAAAACAACAAATAACAAAAGGTCTACAAAACAGAGCAGGATGCATACCTCATTGGATTCCGTAGTGATAAAAAGTTTCTTGAGAACTTGAGGATACGAGGTATTTAGGTTTGCGGCATCTGCCCACATAGGAATATTTGCTTTGTTTGGCTAGAAAACATATATAAATGGTAAGATAAAATGGCTACTGTGTAATACTGTCTGTAATATGCATAAGCAAACAAAAATGTCCACATACCTGAGCAACTTCTTGATAAAAGAAGATAAGCTTTTTTGATCCATTTGCAGCAAAGAAATCTGCTATTAAATTGAACTGAAAAAAAAACAAAACATTAAAGTTTATTGAGTGTGTACTCTTAAATCATAAACCTGTGAGACATTGAAATTCTAAAATCAGGAATATGTAAAATATTTGTGGTCGGTCAGTTTATCCGGTAATTATATGAGTGAACTATACAGATGCAGATCATATGACTAGGTGGTCAACTGCAATCTACCATAAAGTAGACTTTGCATCAAAATCTTAACTGCTAGATCTCTGCCCCCCGTTATCTGCATGAGCCTCCAAAATTCCTCCATGAGACTCATACAATCTACTACGGGTAGGCGACGCTGTCCGCATGTGTTTGCAGGCCGTTCGCATGTAATCACACATGCTGCCATAACCTGCAGATAACTGCAACTAGGCGGAGATTGTTTGTGTTCAGTTGCAATTGTCTGCAGGTAATCGCAGCATTTCGGATTACATGCAAATTTCTGGCCTGCAATTTCAGTCAACAATGACAGCTCCCATGTTTGAATCACCACATACTCGAGCGCTTTATAGTTTTATTAAGACATGTAAATGTAATCAGCTTAATGTATCTGATCTGTATGTTTTACAAAATTATTTATATTTAACATTTGTAATTACATATGTACATGGGGGCATCTTGTAATTTACACATGTTGTGCTTCCTGCTAAGTAATGTGAATAGTGATTAGAAATCACTAGTAAATAATGATTCATTTTTTTTGAAATTATTATTAATGTTATTTATTACAGGTATTTATATAGCGCCAACAATTTATGCAGCGCTTTTACATAGAGCACATTCACATCAGTCCCTGCCCTCAAGGAGCTTACAAGGTCTCCATCTCACATTCATATAAACAGGGACAATTTCGGGAGGAGCCAATTACCCTTCCAGCATGTCTTTGGAGTGTGGGTTTATAATTATTATTATTATTATTATATAGAATTGACCATTCTCTCAGTAAAAATACAGGATATTCCTATGAATAATAAAGGAATAATCTACAAATATGTACATGCAAAATCCTTATTAATGCTCTTATTAAAAGTGTGAACAACAAATAAAATAAAATAAAACGTTTTCTGGTGAAGTGTGATAATAACTCAAACACATCAAATATACCCTAGCTTCTCTTCTAGTACTAAGCTTTTGCCACTAGATGGCACGGTAGCATTACTATTTCACCTTATCATCAGAAATCAGAAAGTCCTCCACTTCATTTTCCCCAATTCCCAGTCCATCAGCCAATTTAGAGACCAAGTACTTGTGCCTTGCGTCCAGCTGAGCTCTCCTTTCATCCTTTGTGACTTTAGCAAGTTTGGCCATTTCCTTTCTGGCTTCATTAGAGAGCACATTATTCTTTTTTCCTGTGGGCTGTAAAATAAAAAAAACATTTAATCAAATCTTGCAGAAAAAAAAAATTTATAGACATAATTCTTAGTCTGGTTTTTATTCCATTGTTGAAGCACAAATAAGAGTAGCAGTTCTTGTGGGATATCCAGAAATTCATGGCTACTTACTGGGATAAGTGTAGTAGGAGACGACACAGTATTAGCCGATCCTGGCACTATGCTAGACCTTTTTACTGCACCTCTTCGTCTTTGACCTTTTCCTTCTTCTAAAGGTAGTAAAAAACAGAAGGTTATGAGGCTTGTAAAGACTTATAGGATGGGGATGGGGGACACACAATTAATTTATTTTATATATTTAAAAACAAAATGATGTGTTTTTCTTTAATAAAAGAAATGATCATTAAACCTAGCAATTAAAGTGATATTAAAGTCAAAAGGATTGTTATCTATTTCAAATGCTCATGAAATCACTTACAATGGATGCTGCTCCTTGATGTTTAAAAGTTTTGGTTTCCTGCAGAATCAGCTAGTCCCCTGAGCTCTGGTCCTGACTTCCTGTTTTAGAGTGACTCCTTTCTCAAGCAGAGTGCTGTGCAGTCATCCTTGTGTGTATGCCTCCACAAACACACAGACACAGCAAATCAAGCTACTTCCCTCCCCATGGCCCCATGGCCCCATGGCCCCATGGCCCCAAGGCCCCCTGGCCCCCTTGCCTCCCTTTTTCCAAACTAGTAGATGAACAGTTGCCGGAGTCTGTATGTCTCTTGTGATCTTGTACTTGACAGGAAGTTCAGGGAAGGTGAGCAGAGAGACTTGGAAGCAGCTGTTCAGAAACATGATGATTGTAAGCATTTGGGCAAAAGTGTAAAGAAATAGTTTGCTGGGCAATGTATATTTGTTTGATTTGCATTCATTATTGAAAAAAAGTTTGAGAGTTTAATTCTACTTTAACTTCCCTTATTTGGTCACTTTTGGTCTGCTAAATATACCATTGAAAGTGTTTTGTTATATCTGTTCCATAAATGCAAAAATTACCTTTTGATCCTGCCAGACATCTTAGCCCCTGGGTAACTTCCTGTGCTCCCTGCATATAGACAATGCGCTTCTTTTGTTATACACACTCAATATACAGGTGAAACTCGAATAATTAGAATATCGTGCAAAAGTTCATTTATTTCACTAATGCAACTTAAAAGGTGAAACTAATATATGAGATAGACTCAATACATGCAAAGCAGGATAGTTCAAGCCGTGATTTGTCATAATTGTGATGATTATGGCTTACAGCTCATGAAAACCCCAAATCCACAATCTCAAAAAATTATAATATTACATTAGGGCTGCGGAAATTAACGATTAATCCTTCGATTAATGGCGGACCATTCCTTTGTGTATGCAACCACTATTGATCTCCACATTGCTGCCAGTCAACACTTTAGACATTCTTAAGAAGGTGAGTGCAGATTGATGATTCCCTACTTGTGCTGCTTCTGATGTCCCGTTACAGGTTAGAGCCAGTTTATGGCCAAGCTACATAAGCTAACTGCAGTAAAGAAAACCGGTTGCTCACTTAGCTGTGCTTTCTGGCAAAGCTGTCAGGATAACAAGACCAGCTGGCTAAAAGTACAAAACATTTTCCATGCAAGGCACTTTACATGTAAATGTATTAAGTTGCTTGCATGGAGTTCAAATATAAGCTTTCAAGGTAAAAATACTGACTAAGAAGAAGCATCAAAAGGTGAATTACATGCAATCAATAAACCATGGATTGTACATAGAACAATATGGAACCTCTGAAAAGTATAAGCATGCATATGTACTCAGTACTTGGTTTGGGCCCCTTTTGCAGCAATTACTGCCTCAATGCGGCGTGGCATGGAAGCTATCAGCCTGTGGCACTGCTGAGGTGTTATGGAAGACCAGGATGCTTCAATAGATACCTGTACAGTAATTCAATGTTTTTGATCCTTAGTCTATATTCATGCAGGGTTTAGGGCTGCTGCTGGGGATTCCTGTGACAAGAACCTATGGATTCTTGCGGCAGGAATCCCAGGTGTGTCTGTACAGATGACAGGCTGTCAGTGGCCGCATCTGTCAGTGGCCATCCACATGTAATCCTACATGGAATGATTACCTGCGGTTCGAGATAGATGATTGTCACTAGATGCGATTTGTCTGCGTCCAGGGACAATCATCTATCCCTGCATAAATGGGGCCTTATAAATAAGTAAATGATACCTTTCTTGATTCTAATGCTGAGAGTAATTCTCAGCATTTGTTTTTATTTTGCATGAAAGGATGCTTCTCTGTAGTGCTATTCTTATTTTGTATGTTGGTCTTAACTTTATGTATATGTTACAGTATATCTGCATGGTCACAGCATGGTATCACTTCCCTAGCATCTAGCTAGGGAATTTTCTATGTCTGCTCAGCATCTTTTATTACTGTGTGCATTCATAAGCTGCCTTTAATGCCGTGTATGGTAAGCCACGTCTTTCAACCATTAGAGACCCAGCCTGGGCCTTGGATAGTGGGTATTAATGCCAGTGGTGTTTTAAAATGGCAGTCGATCTCAGCAGCTCCTGCAGGCCCCTGTTTGAACTAGTGCTTTAGCTGCCGGCTGTCGGTAACAGCCGGGGTCCAGTACTAAGCCCAGAAGCTGAAATGATCAGCTCCTGGGCATCTGATGCCTCTACAGCTCGCTTATGTATAGAAAAGATATAACATTATACATTTAAAAGCTATAACGCCCAAAACGGAGACATCGCTGCAATCAGTTTAAACACTTTTGCCACAGCATGTGCCACTTACTTCTCTCTCTATGAACTTTTTTATGAAATTTCTGATATGGATGACTTTTTTTAAGTGACAGTTATTTTCACACAAGTCCAATGAGATTCATAGCTTACAGCACGGGTGCCCATAATTTTTGTGTTAAGATCTACTTTTCAAAGGACGAGCTACATGAGATCTAGCAATGGAAAAAAAACTCTCCCTCCCTCGCTCTCTCTCTCCTGGCTGTCTCTGCTTGCTCTCTCCCCTGGCTGTCTCTCCTCTTTCTTTCCTCCTTTTCTCTCCTTGCTCTCTCCCCTGGCTGTCTTTCCTCTCTCTCCTGTCTGTCTCTCCCCGCTCTCTCTCCTGGCTCACCTTGCTGTATTTTGCAACAGGATGTGTAAACTACTACTCTTTGATGTAATACATAGCACTTCAACCACCTGTATCCACCAGAAAGGTGTCAGGGAGCTTGGCTCAGCAGACTCAGGCTAATAGGTAATCATGTGTGCACAGCTAAATAAAGATACCAAAATGGAATAAAGGGACCACCATTCACACCCTTTGTGATCTACCAGCATCAGCTTTGAGAGCTACTGGTAGATCACGATCTACTAATGGGCACCCCTGGCTTACAGTAACATGGCTAAAATATAGATCCTTATATTCTCATATAATAATTATATGTTTACATAAATATATATGTATATAGATAGTAGGGCCCCCTACATTGGTGGTCGGTGGGACAATTGTCGTGCCCCCTTACATTAATGGTCTGTGGGAGAGCCCAGGACACAGTGGGCCAAAGACAAAGAGCCAGCATGTTCAATGCTGTCGGTGGGCCATGTATTGAGCTCCAGGGATCTAGAGTAAGCTATATTGTATTGTATTTTTTTTTTTACCGGAATTACTTCTTACTAACGCTTCTAAGATTTTGAGCATCCATTTAGTCGTCATGGTAACCAATGAGGTTTGTACAGTTCTGTAATGAATGTCTATAATCAAACAGCTTGAAGAATATTCAGAGCCAAACCTTATTTCATTTTGGATGGAGTAAGGAAAGGTTAAACACCTTATGAGTTTTTTTTTGCCAAGTGTGTCCCACTGGAGAAATTTCCCTTCAATTCCTGTCCTGTGGACACAACAGGAAATGAGAGGATTTTCGCCAAAGTGATGGAACTGCCCACGTAGATAGTTGTCACTTGCATAGGTGTCTCCAAATGAAGATGTTCTATTCTATCCATGTTCTGGTGACAACTCAAACTTTAGAAACTTTCTTTAGTTTCAGTCTCATTGACAATGGTCATTAGGAAAAATAGAGAGGGTAAATCAGGAGACACAGACAGCAAGAAAAAAGGCTGACAACACTCTATCCAAAACAAAAAAAAATGGCTTCAGATAGACTTTAAGCACTTTCATTGATAATATTACAGTTTGTTGTTTTCAAATAATACATTCAGAAATTACATTTGGTCAGTCTTCAAGGCTGCATTCACACCAGCAGCTGCGCTACAATGGACAGCTGCTGTACTGATGCACTAATCCTAATGCATCGCACTGTTTACCTTTTTTTTTGTTGGAACTTTTTTGAGATGTCAAGAGCAAGGCTGTCCCTATAATGAGACAGCCTGATGTTTTTGGCCTCAGGCGGCATCTAAGGAGCTGAGCGGGGACGCTCTGGCTTGCATCCCATTGAGCTCCTGGAAACCATTGACATCAGTCTGAGCCGAGTGGGAGGCCGGATAGAGTAGTTGACAGTGCAGTCCGGAGTTTGCCACTGCTCCCTCCCAACAACAAATCAGCCGCAGCCATCTTATTGATCAACGCCGGCAGAGAGATGAGGGGACATTCACCTGGCGGGATGAGGTATGCCGCCGTGTCCCCTCTTCTCTCCTGACACTGTCGGGCTCTTGGTCCATGACCGAGTGCCTGACTTTTTTAGAGGGGGGGGACACCAAAATGACTGCCAGTCATTTTGGTGTCACCCCTCCAATGGTGTCACCTGGGTGCGGGCCGCACCCCCTTGTGACGCCACTGGTTCTTAGGTCATATTGACACAGTAAAAATGTCCCAGCTGCTGCAAGAATTCAGCAGATTCCTGCAACTGGATTCACAGGGGGATGCAGATAGTTGCAGCTGCTAAGACTGCACAAGGCAATGGCAGTAGGGATGCTCAGATACCAGTGCCGATATTTGGCTTTTTCATGAGAACTACCAGACTCACAACAGTTGCAGCTGGGACCTGGCTCTGGCGCTCCACCACTGTCCACCTCATTTGCATCTGTCTGCTACTGCCACAGGGCAGAGCAACCAATGCGAGACTTTTATATGCATGTATGTCTCCCTAGCCAATCACTTGGATAAATACTTGGGGTGAACTATGTGAGTTCTCGCTTCCTCCCCTGGGCCTTGCTGGGGGGAGGCTGCTATGGACTGTCTGATTTGGCTGAGCCTAAAGCCTAGGTTCTAGCCATATGCTTGCACTAAGGCCCGAGTCTGGGCGTCCAGTGGCTACTACTGACACCAAGGATGAAGATGACTAATGATTTCTATTTCAAGTACTGCTTGGCCGGGTGCTCTACACACAGATTGTCTGTGATGGCAGCAGTTACTCTGCCCTATTGGTTAAAGCAGCCTACACCAGCCTGGATGATGCTGACCCTCAACCTCTCTCCCTGAAGTTGATTAATAAAGTTCCTCAGCATCATATCTACAGCCTGGACCTTGCTTTCATCGGCCACCATGGAGGGTGGTAAGTGCTATTGGGGAAGACATACACCGACATACACCGACATACACCGACATACACCGACATACACCGAATTGCTAGACATGGCTATAATGGATGACCCACCTTTTCCCTGCAGCTCCTTAGGGGATGCTCTACATATACTGTATATATAAAA